GAAATACTGACCGTGTTCTTCCCTTTTGGTTTTCTAACTCTAAATCTTTGCATATTTTATTATAGTATTTGGCTTTATCTTCTCGAGCTGATCCGTAATGCATCCGTAAGTTATCATTAATTACTAGTTACCTTACTATTATAATGCTGATCAGATTTTGATGCTACAAAGTCATTTGAACTGCAAGGTCGGTGGTTCAAACTCACCAGCTGCTCCTTGGAAACCCTATACAGGGTCACTATGGGTCGGAATCGACTTGATGGCACTTCACAACAACAACAATATACATTAAAAAGGTTGTTGCAGAGATTTAATTTTGCTTAGATCTATTCTAATTAAGAAAAAGAAAAATGAGCAATCAAAAATCTATTATGTTGTCGTTCTTATGTGCCATGAAGTGCTTTTGACTCACAGTGACCTCGTGTCACAGAGTAGAACTGCGTCATAGGGTTTCCAAGTCTGTAATCTTTATAAAAGGAACCCCGACAACATTGTGCTTGGATGGCAACTGAGAGGTCAGACGTTCAAGCCGATCAGCTTTGAATGGAGAAAGATCTAACAATCTATTCCATAAAGATTACAGACTGGAGAACCCCATGGGGGCAGTTCTACTCTGGCCTCTAATGTCACTGTGAATCTCAAATGAATCAACAGTTAAAAGTTTAGTTTGGAATCATGACAGAAGCAGATCATGATCTCTTTCTACCAGGGAATGGCAGAATCATGTGTGTACATGTGTGGTTATGTGTGTACACATACATTGTTGCTGTTAGGAGTCACCAAGTTGGTACCGACTAATAGCAACCTTATGCACAACAGAATGAAACACTGCCCGACCCTGGTCCAACCACACTATTATTGCCACACGTGTGCCCATCGATGCTGCCACTTTGCCAATCCATCTCGCTGGGGGTCTTCCTCTTTTTCTCTGATCCTCCACCTTACCAAACACGATATCCTTCTCCAGTGACTGGTCCCTCCTGACAACATGTCTGAAGTATGAGAGATGAAGTCTGGTCATCCTGGCCTCCAAGGAGCACTCTGGCTGCACTTCTTTCAACACGGATTTTTTGGTTCTTTTGGCAGTTGATAGCACTTTCAATATTCTCCTCCAACACCATAACTCAAAAGCATCAATTCTTCTATGGTCTTCCTGATTCACTGTCCAGCTTTCACATGCATAAGAGGTTATTGAAAATACCATGGCTTGTGTCCATTGCACCTTAGTTCTCAAGCTGATATCTTTGCTCTTCAACACTTTTAAAAGGTCTTGTGAAGCAGATTTGCTTAATGGAATACGTCGTTTGATTTCTTGACTGCTGCTTCCATGAATGTTGATAGTTGATCCAAGAAAAACGAAGTCCTTAACAACTTCAATTTTCTGCGTTGATAAGAATGTTGTTTATTGGTCCAGTGGTGAGGATTTTTGTTTTCTTGACATTGACATGCAATCCGTACCTAATCTTCATCACTTTGATCTTCATCAGTAAATATTTTAAGTTCTCTTCACTTTCAGCAAGCAAGATTGTATTAATTGCATATTGCAGGTTGTTAATGAGTCTTCCTCCAATTCTGATATCACAGTTTTTGTCATATAACCCAGCTTCTCAGATTATTTGCTCAGCATACAGGTTGAATAAGTATGGTGAAAGAATACAACCTTGTCGCACACCTTTCTAAATTTTAAACCATTCAGTGTTCCCATGTTCTGTTCAAACAACTGCCTCTTTGACCAGGTACAGATTTCTCATGTTCCAGAATACTCATACTTCACAATGTTGTCCATAGCATGTCATGATCCATATAACTGAAAGCAAAAGCTCCATATCATCAGCCAAAACAAGGCCAGGAGCAGATTGTGGAACAGACTATCAACTGCTCATATGCAAATTCATACTGAAGTAGAAGAAAATGAAACCAAATTTACAAGAGCCAAAATATGACATTGAATATATCCCACCTGAATTTAGAGATCATCTGAAGAACAGATACAATACATTAGACATTAAAGACCAAAGAGGAGAAGAGTTGTGGGATGACATCAAGAACATCATACAGGAAGAAAGCAAAAAGTCATTAAGAAGACAAGAAGAAGGAAAAGACCAAAATGGATGTCAGAAGAGACACTGAAACTTGCTCTCCAGAGTAGAGATATTAAAGCAAATGGAAGAAATGAAAGGTTACAAGAGCTAAACAGAAAATTTCAAAGGTCAGCTTGAGAAGACAAGGCCAAATATTATAAGAAAATGTGCAAAGATCTGGAGTTAGAAAACCAAAAGGGAAGAACACACTCCACATTTCTCAAGCTGAGCGAACTGTATATATATATATGGAGTACAGTGGCTCTGTTGGATAAGCACTGGACTGCAAACCACAAGATCATTGGTTTGAGCCCACCAACCGCTCCTCAGGAGAAAGATGTGGTTTTCTGCTCCTGAAAAGATTTACACCCTCACAAACCCAATACAGGATTACTATGAGTCTAAACTGACTCCATATCATTTAACTACCACAACAACAAATAAATGAAAGCAAATAAAAAATATTGCTACTAAGGTTCCATTCATATATTCCAGGGTTTATTCCAAACAGAATATGTTCAAGAATGTCTCTGAAAACATGGATGGCAACAGACACGTTCTTGAAGAAACACCCATGTCTTAGTCTCATTGGGGGGCCTTCCAAAAAGTTCCAAACAAAACAGTGGTTTTTGAGAGGATCTACTTGGCCAGTTAAATTCAAGTCAGAGAGGTCAACTCAGAAGGTTAAGATGACTATTTGTTTGAGTTCCAAAGGAGTCATCTTGATAGATTTTATCAAAGGAAACTCACAGGGGCTTATTATAAAGAGATTTTAAGAAAATTGAAAACTGTATTGCTAAGAAAAAGACCAGGAAAGCTGTGCTGAGGAATATTTTCCATCAGGAAAATGCATTTGCTTATTCTTCAAGGGTAGTGAGGGATATCCTACAAGAATTTCCTTGGGAAGCCTTACCTCACCCACACAAGTACCCTTACCCCGTTAGACTTCTATTTGTTCCCCAAACTCAAAGAACAGTGAAAAGGATCATGCTTTGAGTCTCTCCAGAGTCCTGGTGTGGCGCTGTGGGTTAATGCATGAAACTGCAAAGCTGTTTGAACTGCAAGGTCGCCGGTTCAAGCTCACCAGCTGCTCCTCAGAAACCCTATACAGGGTTGCTATGGATCAGAACCAACTCGATGACACTTAACAACAATAACAACAGGATGCCAAATCAGAAGTCTTTGGGGAAGAATAAGAGAAATGAAAACAGAGGCTTCAGAAGTGTAAATTATGGACATGTCAAGAAACAATAGCTTCACATGTTAACATTTTTATTTCATGAAAGTGTATATGATTTTACCCTTATGTGTGTGTGTATGTGTGTGATGTATTAAAGGACATACTTGGAAGTTAAGGTGAGAGAGTCACAATACTATGGTTATTTAAAAACAGGTACTGGAGACCCACTGAAAGGACGAAAATTACCTTTGGATGTCTAAGGAGAAAGTTGGCAGCATCCTCAAAATATTCCAGTTCTATATTTTCTAAACTGGAAGGCAGATCTTCATAGTCAAAGTAAGCCAAGGCCAAGCAGACAAAGCCTCGACTGGCCAGGAGACTGGCCCGGAATTCAAGCAGACCGCCAACACCTCCAAACAAGTCAATTACTCCTGGAAAAGGACCAGCTCCTGAAAAAAGAACAAAACAAAACATAATTCTGTATGAAGAGAAGATGAGGAAAAGAAAAGAACATGAGGATAATAAAAAAGAATCATAATTATTAAGTTTTACACAGGATTCCAAAATGTCTAGCCTAATGTCTGGGAAAGAATTAAGGCCTAATGAATATATTACGGAACTCAATATCCAAATGTTTGATTGGGAACTTTGTTCACAAATCTATTTAACTCCTGCAGTCAAGAAGAATGGGAACTCACAGTGGTCCATTTCTACAGTCTCAGAGTAAAGTGAGGCTAAACGCTTGACCACGACTCGGCAGCATATGAATAGGTCCACAGATGGCTGCTGTTTCTAAGTGCTGTCAAGTCAGTTTGATTCATAGCGACACTCTGTACAACAGAAGGTCACACTGCCCAGTCCTATATTGTCTTCACATTTGTTGTTATGTTTGTGTACATTGTTGTCTCCACTGTGTCAATTCATTTCATGGAGGGCTTTCCTCTTTCTTGATGACGTCTATTTTATCAAGAATGATGTCCTTCTCCAGGAACTGGTCCTCCCTGACAACATCTCCAATGTTGAGAGATGAAGGTCACATAGAGGCTACTGGAAATCTGTGACAGTCCTGAATTTATATGCAAAATATGGCCTATGTGCAAAATGTGTTTATATGTATGTTATGGGTTAAGTTTTGTCCCCTAAAACTATGTGTTATAAATCCTAACCCTTATATCTGTGGCTAAGAATCACGGGGATACAGAGGTTAAATGCTGGGCTGCTAACCAAAAGACCAGCAGTTTGAGTTACCAGTTGACGGGACAGTCTACTCCCATAAAAATCTGCAGCCTCAGAAACCCTACAGAGGATCACTGTGAGTCTGAATCAACTTGAGAGCACTTTGGGTTTTTTTGTTTATATATATACATATATATATATATACACACACACACATATATATATGACTATAACATAGTCACACACACACACACACACACACATATATATATATAGAGAGAGAGAGACAGAGAGAGAGAGACAGAGACAGACAGAGACAGAGACAGAGAAAGAGAGAGAGAGAGTACTGGTGTGGTTTGGTTTTGTAGGATCAGCACTGGACTGTTAACCACAAGGTTGGTAGTTCAAACCTACCAGTCACTTCTTGGAAACCCATAGCGTTGCTATGAGTCAGAACTGACTTGCTGGACTAAGTAACAATATGTGTGTGTGTGTGTGTGTGTGTATACACACCCCTGTAGTTATAATCCCATTTAGGAATGGGTTTCTTGGTTATGTTAATGAGACAGTATTAGTGTAGGGTGTGGCATAAATCTGTCTCACAAACACAAGTGGAGGGGAAGATACAATCCACATGATCCACAAGCAGCCAAGAAACAGAAACTAAAGAAACAAGGACCTGTCCTCAAAGTGAACAGAGAAAGTCTTTCCCTTACAGCCAGTGCCCTGAATTCAGACTTCTAGCCTCCTAAACCATGTGAGAATATGTTTCTGTTTGTTAAGGCCACCCGTTTAAGGTATTTCTACTATAGTAACACTAGAGAACTAAGAGAATGTGCAATTTCTCACTGCTTGATGCTAAAATATACTACACAGCCACAGTGGTCAAAACAGTCTGGTACTGATACAATACATAGATCAATGGAAGAGAACTGAGAACCCCAAAGTAAATCATCCACATATAGTCAGCTGATCTTTGACAAAGAGCCGAAGCACATTAAATGGGAAAGAGACCATCTCTTTAACAAATGGTGCTGGCACAACCAACGGGAATCCATTTGCAAAAGAATGAAACAAGACCCATATCTTACACCATATACAAAAACAAACTCAACGTGGATTAAAGACCTAAATAAAAACCTAGAGCTATGCAGATCATCAATGAAAAGATAGGGACAAACTTAGAGTCTAATACATGGCACAAATATGCTATCAAACAAAACACACAAACAGCAGAAGACAAAATAGATGACTAGGACCTCCTAAAAGTTAGACAGCTATATGCATCAAAAGATTTCACAAAAAGAGTGAATAGGGATCCCACAGACTGGGAAAAAATGTTTGCAATGACATAGTGGACAATGGACTAATCTCTAAAATTTATGGAAAATGATAATACCTCCACAAGAAAAAGACAATTTTTAAAAGCACACAGGACATGAATAGACACATAGTTCTTAGTATCACAGCAACATGCAAACCAACACAGTGCAACAAACTGAAAGATGAGTTGTGGTTTATCCAGATGATCACTATTTATTAGAACAAGGACCAGGCTCCAGGTAGAGCCTGGAAATTATTAACATTCCAACTTAAAATAGTCGAAACAAGGATAAGTTGGGGTGTGTGTAAAAAAGATGCTTTCAGACAGTGATTGATTATAGCTATTCTTAGCTCTGGTAGCGTAGTGGTTACGAATCGGGCTGCGAACCTTAAGGTCAGGGGTTCGAAACTACCAGCTGCTCTGCGGGAGAAAGATGAGGCTTTCTACTCCCGTAAAGATTCACACCCTCGGAAACCCTATACAGGGTCGCTATGTGTCGGAACCAACTCGATGGCACATAACAACAACAACAACATTCTTAGCTAAGCAAAAATAGTTATACTTTCAGAATGACTGCACTTATGCTATCATTGTTGTTGTTGTTAAGTGCCACCGAGTCGATTCCGATTCATAGCAACCCTCTATTGGGTTTTCAAGGAGCAGCTGGTAAGCTTGAACCGCTGACCTTGAAGTTCAAATCAACTTTGCAGCCCATATGGAGCATATTATACTGCCTTCAGATTTATGTAATGTTCTATAAATATGCAATATTAATGGAACAAACACTGTAAATCTATCTATAGCCTCTGTCTTGGTTGTAATCTTTCAGATCATCATATTATCAATTTATTGTGGTATCTACACAATGACCTATACCTAAACTGGATCTTAGACATAACAGAATTTCCAAAAGGAACTGGGACATGGTCCCATGATAATCAGATAGTCAGACTTCAATGCATTTGGGTTCCTCATAAATCCAAAGCTATGAAACTTTCAAATTCAGGGACTCCATAAACTATATGTAGTCTTATCTTCAGACAAGCTGTACAATTGTTGAGATGAAACTTGAGTTGGAATGGGTACTGATGGATTCTTGTTCTCATCCAAAGGTAATCCTTATTCTAAGTCAGAAAAGACTTAGAATGTTCTACATATTAGCTATAGACAACTAAGCTTATAGGAAAATAGGCATTCAAGAAGAAAGTCAAGAATGACAGTAACTAGAGTAATTCTACCCACCTGGAGGAAGGAAGAGGGCTCCCCGAATGCGACCTTCTTGGACTCGGATCCGTGTGACACCAGGTGCCACATACCATCTCTCTACAGTCAGGCTCGCCCTTGGAATATCATTAGTTAACTTTACGGCAGGGGTATCTGTGCTATGAAGTTTCAACTGGACCTGGAAGGGGCTATTCATCACATCTCTTTTTATCAGTCTTGTTAATATCTTCTCGGGTTTCATGGACCAGAAGAGGCCCATGGGATGGACTCCAACATAGTCACCTCCAAGTGAAGAAGCATGCTCCAGATCAACCTCACCAACTTCATTGGCCCTATAGCAGGCTTGAGAATGAAACATTTTCCCCTTTTCATCTTGCAGTGAGGCTACAAAAGTTACCATCTCAGAAGGATGCAGGCCTGTAGCTCGGATATGGATTGGCTCATCAACAAGTGCACTTGTAGGAGTAGCTGTCAGTTGAACCATTGTGCCAGTGTAGTACCTTTGATGGTTCTTCAGGAATGTCTTCAGTAAGATCTCAAAATAGAAAGAAATAAAAGGGAATGGAATAAGGACACCTGGTATGGTGCTGTAGGATCAGCACTGGACTGTGAACCACAAGATTGGCAGTTCAAACCCAACAGTTGCTCTTTGGAAACCCTATACATAGTTGCTATGAGTCAGAACTGATTCAGTGGCACTAAACAAAAACAACCTTAATGAAAGGTAAAATGGACTAGGAGTCAAGCTTAGGATTCAGACCTTACTTTCTAGTTATTAAAGAAATATCCTATTGCAATTTTCTCATGAATCCAAAGCTATGAAACTTTCAAATTCAGGAATCCATAAACTTATGTAGTCTTATCTTTAGACAAGCTGCAGAATTGTTGAATGAAACTTGAGTTGGGATGGGTACTGCTGGTTTCTTGTTCTCATCCAAAGGCAATCCTTATTCTAAGTCAGAAAACAGTTACTCTACATATTAGCTATATTCAATCTAAACTTATAGGAAAATAGGCATTCAAAAAGAGAAAAGTCAAGGATGACAGTAACTATAGTAAATGTACACACCTGGAGGAGGGTAGACGAGGGCTCCCTAAATGCAACCTTCTTGGACCTGGAGATATGTGACACCTGGTGCCACATATTACTTCTCCACAGTCAGGCTCTCCCTTGGAAGACACCTGAAAGCTTTCAACAGATTACAAGAAGAAGTAAAGCTAGTAGATAAGTTTTATAATAATAATGTACCAAAGCTGAGGAAACAGCAGACAATAATATTCATGAATAGTGTCTACAGATCCAAAGAAGATAACATAATCTTCCTGACAGAATGGGTCATTCAATCCACTTTATTAATATCCTCTATTGCTAAGGTTAACCTTTATACCTGGCTTTTAGGGGCCAACTGCAATTTGAATGTGGGACTGTATCTCATTTTCTGGTGTCTATCAGAGTCCTGGTGTGGTGCTGTGGGCTATAATGTGTCAGACTGCAAAGCTGTTTGAACTGCAAGGCTGGCGATTCAAGCTCACCAGCTGCTCCTTGGAAACTCTATACAGGGTCGCTATGGGTCGAAATCAACTCGATGGCACTTAACAACAACAACTGCAATTTGGGGGCCACCACTCATCTGCTAGTTTGTCATATTGTGGTGGCTTGCGTGTTGCTGTGATTCTGGAAGCTATGCCACAGGTATTTTAAATACCAGTAGAGTCACCCAGTGGATAAGTTTCAGCTGAGCTTCCAGATGAAGCCAGACTAAGAAGAAGGAGTGATGAACTAACTCCGAATATTTGGTCACTGACAACCTTATGAATAGCAGTGGAACACTGTCAGCACCAGAATACTGAATATTGAAACATGAGGCAGGCGTAGCAACAATTGTGAGTTTGGTGCAGGACCGGGCAGTGCTTCATTCTGTTTTGCATTGAGTCACTACAATTTGGTACTGACTTGATGGTACCTAACCACAACTGCAATTTGAATCTAGTTGTAGGTCAAGAAGCAAAAATGGATAGTGGGACTGAGGGCTAAGGAGAATCAGTAGTGTCTTACAAGGTGCCTGCATCAGGGGAGGCCATTACAGTTTCTTTAAGGAAAGCTGGGTTAACCCCCTCTGTCAAAGGTGGAAGAGCTGCTTTACTGATAAAAAAGCACTCAGAAGAATTTAGGGGTTCAATATCCCCAACTTCATCAAGATCTGGCTGTATATACTGCATTAAAAGTTTCTGGACCCCATTCAATTCCAATCAATGCCCTGACTTCAACAGCAGATACCCTGCAAGTTTAGGAATTCAAGTTATACTGTAATCTGGACACTACAAGGGTGAAGCTCTGGAATCCTGGTGTGCTGCTGTAGGATAAGCACTGAACTGTCAACAAGAAGGTCAGCAGTTCAAACCCACCAGTCGTTCTTCAGAAACCCTATAGAGGGTTGCTATGAATCAGAACCGAGTCAACGCCAACAACAGGGTGAGATTCTGGGTTTGATTTTCAGCAGTCTCAGCTGGCTACAGGAGATAAGATTTTCTACCAAAGCACACATAGAAATTTTCAGGTCACTTATGTGGTGCTTGAGATTAGGATTTATAGCCTTGAAATCATCTTCTTTCTTCCTCACCTTGTTCAGTAAAATCAGAGGTAGATTGCCCAAAAAGCAAGGTAAGCATAGGGTTACTTGTGCTTACTAGTCTGTAGACAACAAATTCAGATTTTTCACATCAAAGATTCTGTCTCTAGGGATGGTTGGCATCTGTCTCACAACTCCATAGCACCTTCCTGCAAAATCAAAGGCTGAAAGCTTAAATTGTCATATGTACAATGCCTGACTGGGAGAGTGTAGCCAGTAAGCCACACAAACATGGACTTACTTGTGCTTATTTACTATTTCTGTAGTCAATAATGTCATGTTTTTCTCACATCAAAGATGTATAATTGCTGCGAAATCAGGAGCAACCAGCAAATTCCATTATACTTTTCAATTTGACAGATTTTCTAAGGTATCAAATACATGGTCACTCTGTAAAGGAGTTTACCCTGGATAATGTGAGTCCCTAAGTGATACAAATGGTTTGCCCTCAACTACTAAACAAAAGGATGATGGTTTGAGCCCAATCAGTAGTACTTCAGAAGAAAGTACTGGAGATAAATCTTCTTTAAAAGATTACAGGGAAATTCTGTGGTGCTCATTTGTACTCCATAACACACAGGCTTGCCATAAATCAGAATCAACTTATCATCGGGAGACCTGACAGCAAAAAGTGAGGCTTCTCACAGTGAGGACATTCTGCTTCAAGACTGGAGCAGAGACATTATGCTGAACTTTCTAACCTGTTACCTGACCTACCCATTTCAAACTCTAGGCTGCTAGAATTTTCAGCCTGCCACTGACCTCTAGGGTTTGAACTTGCCAGTCCCCACAGTTGTGTGAACCAATTCCTTAAAATAAATCTCTGTTTAATGAGCATAGAGTTACTGTTTAGGATGATGAAAACATTTTGGAAATAGATAGCAACTGCAATATTGTATGTTTTTTATATATAAATTTACCACAATAAAATTTAACAACAACAGAAAAAGTCTGAGATGTCAGACAACATATGTACTGTTAATGTACTTGGATTTACAACCTATAAAACATTGTCCCTATCCCCTCTGTATACAGGATTGATAAGGATGGGCAACTTAGACGTTGGCTACCTAAAATGGAGGGAAGGGGGACTATAAAGGCACAAAGTGGCTGGATTACAAGTTTTCAAGAGGGTGTTTAGTTTCAGAGTATGCAGGAGAAGGCAGAATCCCCACTGAATAGTTTTATCTTGTCTAGTCAGGTCCGGTGAAAGGAGATGGGGATAAGATTCTTATGTTAAGTGCCATCAAGTTGATTCTGACTCATAGCGACCCTGTATAGGGTTTCCAAGGAGCAGTTGGTGAACTTGAACCACTGACCTTGCAGTTCAGATGACTTTGCAGTCTGACACATTAACCCACAGTGCCATACCAGGATTCTGATAGACACCATAAAATGAGATACAGTCCCACATTCAAATGGAAAGTAATTATTCAAAAGGTCCAAATTTAAGTTCATTTCATAATTCTTTTTACATATCAAAATCATTTCTTGGATATCCTTGATTAATTGTTGCATCTTAGTACTGGTATTACAAAGAGTTAAGCATTCAACAACTAGCAGGAAGGTTAATCATTGGAACCCAACCAAAGGTGCCTTGGAAAACAGTCCTGGTGATCCAAAGGTCATAGTCTTGAAACCCTATAGAGCAGTTCTGTTCTGCATACAAGGGATTATCATGAGTTGTAATCAACTAGACAGCAACTAACAACAAAGTCCCTAAAATGAGTAGATGTTTGTGACTTGTATACTTCCCACTCAAAATATACTTTCACAGTATAGCAATTATAATAAGATTTTTTCAGGTTAGCTAAAAACTGTATTTTAAGTAAAATATAATTTTAAGTAAAATGTAATGTTAAATAGTTAATTAGCATATTAAAATGGAGAATTACTCTGCATTTTCTATGTAATATTTTATCATTTCCAAAAATGTTGTATATCTTTTCAAGTCATGTTACTAAGAAGCCATGAAATGTAAGGCTAAAATATTAGCATAGGGTAGCAGAATAGTATATATTTTTTTCTTTCTAAAGAAAGTTTTCTCTTCCTAACATAGAGTTAAGGTCACTGATTTCTGATTGGGAACCTAGTTCCATTTAAGATATGTTCTCTTTCAGTCTCTAAATAGTCATAATTGCAAGCTGCACCTATAAACATAAAAGCTACTGGAAATAAAAAGACCTACCTGAGATCCTGTCAAAACAGCACTGTTGCCTCAGACTCTGAAAGAGAACTAACACGTGTCCCTTTGAGCTGCTAGAGTTCATGGTCTGATGAAAGCAGACCTTGCTTCTAATAATTTTCAACTGTCATAATTGCATAATTCCTTTCTTTGAACCTTTCTTTCCAATAATCAATGATTAACTTCACCATTCCCAGAGCTCCCTTGAAAATAATAATTTTCAAATGTACCCTCTGTGGTTTTAATAAAACTAAAATAAGAATATAATAGGCTTTTCCCTCCCAGTTTACTTTTATCTATATGACCAGGGTGGATTTACAACTAAATTGGTAAATTAGCTCCAGGGACTTTGGGCATTTTTATTGCTAACTCTTGGCCAAGAAAGCAATGAAATGTATTGCTTTTTCACTCTTGTAAACTTTGCAAATGTTTATCTTTTCCCATTAAATTCTTTTTTTACTTTTTTAATATTTAAATGCAAATAATTCATGAATACACACTCCTAGAGTGGTGTTTTGGGATAAACACTGGAGTGTTACCCATAAGGTCAGTGGCTCAAACCTGCCAGCTGCTCCTTGAAAACCCTGTACAGGGTTGCTATGAGTTGGAATTGACTCGACGGCATGCAACAACAATAACAACATCAATACATGCACTCACTGTAAAATG